GGACGGCGGGGGCCGCGGAGGGGGGCCGGGGGGGGGGGCACGCACACTTGGGCATCTTCATGCGCAGGTTCTCCAGCTGCAGGTTCTGTGAAGTGACTGTCAGCTTGTCCAGCCGGCCCTGCTGCTGGTACAGGAAGTAGGCGGTAGTGGCCTGGCCGGCCAGGAGCAGAGCCACCAGGATGGAAAAGCCTGTGTACAGGGCTCCACGGCTGCATTTGCTGTGGGGATGAATGAGGAACAGATCAGAGGAGAACCCAGAGAGCTGCTCCGGTGTCTGCCTCGGGAACCCAACAGCCCCCAAGCCACCCCTAACAGACACACACAGGCCAAGCCCACATAATGCACTGGCTATGGAAATGCAGCCTGGAGCACCCCCACTCCTTCCAACCACTGATGCCCCTAATCTCCTGCCTGTCGAGGCCCTGGAGCCGCCCTTGTCTTCTCTGGAGTTTGGTGTCCCACCTGTGCAGTGACAGACAAGGGGGAGTGAGTGTCTCTCCGGTTCCCTCTGCCTCGGGAGACTCCCAAGGATCAGGGTTACCCTCAGAGGGAGTGGCTTGGGGTTTTTTCTTTTTTCTTCTTTGTGTGTGTGTGGCACTGGGGTTTGAACCCAGGACCTTCACACTGAGCTACATCCCCAGCTTTTACTTCTCATTTTCAGACAGGCTCATAGTCACCAAATTGCTCAGTCTGGATTCAAAATTGCAATCCCCTTGTCTCAGCCTCCTGGAGTGATGGGATTACAGATGTGCCACCACCCCCAGCTTTATTTTGTTGTTTGCTTGCTTGCTTGTTTTTTCAGACAAGGTCTCACTGTGTAGTTTAGGCTGGCCTTGAATTCACAGCAATTTTCCTGCCTCCACCTCCCAGGAGCTCAAGCATTCGCCACTACACCCAGCCTTATTTTGTTTTTGGTTTTTGTTTTTGTTGTTGTTGTTGTTGTTTGAGACAGGGTCTCACTAGGTAGTTGAGACGGACCTGCAACTCACTATGTAGCCCAGGCTGGTCTGGAACTCATAGTAATCCTCCTGCCTCAGCCTCCCAAGTGCTGGGATTACAGGCATGTGCCACCACACCCGACCTTATTTTGTTTTTTAATCCACAAAATAAAATGCATAGAGTTGGGATTGCATGCCTGTGATCTCAGCACTTGAGAAGCAAAGGCCGAAGGATCGCCAGTTCGAGACCAGCCTGGACTACATAGTAAGGCCCCATCTCAAAAAACAAAAAGCAAACAAAAAATATGTATTCATTTACCAGGTAATGAAGGGGGAATTTTCATCTCCCCAGAAAGTTCCCCACCCCCACGATGAAATCAGATTTAAGGAGAAAGGGAAACTAAACGGGACCAGGACAGCAGAGAACTTGGCCCACCTGAAAGGAGAAGTGAGGCATGGACATTTTAGGAGTGGGCTAGGGAGCACTGAACACTGGCAGACTGGGGCAGGGCCTGGCCTCAGCCCCTCCAGGGACACATCTTCTGCCTCAGACGGCTGTGTCTTTTCCTATTAGTGCCTGTGTGTCGTGCATAGTGATTACATTCATCCTGGAGAGTTGGTACGTGTGCATAACACACTTAATTCTTTTTACTTCCCCTTCCTTTCCCTCAGACTATGCGTCTTTATTTATTTGTTTATTTATTTTTGTTTTTGTTTTTTGTTTTTTGAGACAGAGTCTCACTATGTAGTTGAGACTGACCTGGAACTCACTATGTAGCCCAGGCTGGTCTCCAACTCACAGTGATCCTCCTGCCTCAGCCTCCCCAGTGCTGGGATTACAGGCGTGCACCACCACACCCAGCTAGACTATGTGTCTCTGAACAAATCCCCACCAGTGCCTCAGTGTCACCACCTGTCACATGGGTAGCCCTCATCTCAGCGATTCTAGGGTTTGGTTTCATCTTCGGAACAAGATCTGACTGAGACCACTCAGTCGGAGCTGACTGGGATATTTCCATGAGGTGCCAGAAGCAGCTCATGGTACTGGCCAGCTGTGGGGATTGGGACAGGGGTAGGTGCGCCAGCCTGTGCAAGCGGGGGGAATTTCTCGAGTTCTCTGGACTGACCGTGGGCGCAGACCCTCAGACCTCAGGGAGCTGTGGCCTTTGGACACGGTTGGGGCGCGTGCCCACTTCCCAGTGCGGGGTACACCCAGCACTGGAGGAACAGCTAGGCCCCCGCTGTAGTTTGAATGAGTGCCCTCTAAAGTTCAGGTGCTGCCAGTGTGTGGGTGCTGGGAGGCGAACGGGATTAGGGGCCCTTGTGAGAGGCTTGTCAGAGGGAGTAGGCTCTCTTGCCCTTCCGCCTTCTACATGAGAAAGAAGCAAGAAAGCCATCACCAGAACTATGGGAAATCTCTGTTCTTTACAAATTACCCAGCATGTGGTATTCTGTTGTACCAGCACTAACAGACTAAGACAGAGCCCTTGGAAATTGTCTAGATGAGTCTGCATTTTGCTACCCCAGAAGTCAGCAAGGGACGTTTAGGGACCTCTAGGAGACCCTTCTGCCTGGTAACTCTGACGTCACAATCACCGCTTATTTTCATTGGCTCTTTGCTGGCCAGCCCTCTGTGCCCTCTGGCTAAGATCTAGCCCGAAGGAGTTACTTTAAAGGGGAAAAAACTGAAAGTCTGTAGGGAAAGGGAAGCCAGATACCAGGAGAAAACAAATTCCACTTCTTAGCCTTCCCGAGGAAGGGGTGATGAAAAGTCCACTCAGTCTCGTCCGGGTTCAAGCTAACCTCACTGTCTCTCACGTGGGCAGCCACAGCCCCCACCCACCCCTCTGCAGCTCCGGCGCAGTTCTAGCCTCGACTCTGCCTCCTGCCACAGGAGCACGGGGAATCCTGCCCCTTCCCCGTTCTGAACCTCGGCTTCCGAGAAGCCTGAGGATGAGCCGTGTAACCTGGATTGTCTCTGGGACCACGGGGAAGTCACTTAACCCTGTGCAGAAGCAAAACTGGGTAAAAGGACCAACTAAACGTTGTTACATTAAATAAAATAATGAGCGTAAAACTCGTGGCTCCGTACCTAGCACATCCTTAGTGCTCTGGAAATAAGTAACTACTGTTCTCTAGGGAGATAACAGTTAACCTCAGCATGTGACTTCCTTCCTTATAACTTTCAAATATTTGTCCCCTGGTGCTGGTAGAGTGCCAATTCTTGTCGCCCCCTCTTTTATTTCCTCTTTTGCTCTGCCTCCCTGTGGAATTAAAAAAAAAAAAAAGTAGTTGGTCAAAGTCCAAGAGCCAACCAGAACCATCAGGACGCATGACAAAGATGTTGCTAGGCAGAAGTGTTCACAAGAGGCTCTGAATCAGGGTCTGGTCTGGAGTGGCCCAAGCGCACAGGACTGGGCCACTTTTAGAAGCAGTAACTGAAGAGAAAAGCAGAGAAGGCTTTGACAAGGGAGACCCTCTCTGAATACACTCCACCCAGGCCTCCAGGTCTGGGCAGCCTGAGCTCAGTGCGGTCCCACCACCCCTTCCCACAAACCATCCTCTAACAGAGGATTAGACCGAAGAACGGGCCCTAACTGACATCAGACTAGTCCTGGTCCAAGTTCTGTCTCCCACACTCACTGCCTATGATAACTTGGGTAAGTTACTTACCAGGACGAGCCCCTTCTGTGTAAAAATAGACCTAATAAATTCATTAAATGTATGGAGTGACTCTGAAAATTAGGATTGAGTTAAGCCTTAAATTGTTGGGCAAATAACTGCAGTAATACTAATGACTGAGGGCTGGAGGTGAGTACACCACGGACAGGAACTATCACCATGGCTGTGATTACTGAGATCCAGAGAGAGGCAGTGATGTATCCGAGGTCCACATAACAGTAGCAGAACTTGGACCAGAACCCAGTCCTCACAAGGGTCCCTCATGCCATGGGGCCCCCAGGATTGTCACAGGCCACCCCTCTCGTAGTCTGTATCTGGTTACCTCATCTTCCAGGACACAGTTCCCTGTAACTTTTCTCAGTGACTCTCCCAAGGCCCTGTCTGCCGGCAACAGCTGACGTCACAACTGGCTGCCGGTCTCCATTGACAGAAAATGACTTTTTAGAGACTGCAGCGGGGTGGGGAGCAGCTGGATTCTAGCACCTTTGGGGCCTTGGTGGGAGGAAACACGGGTGAGGCCATTTTGGGGCCAAGAGAGGGGCCAGAGTCCTCTTAATGGCTGCACAGGCCTCTTGCTACCAGTGCTCACCCAGCAGCAGGGCACAGACAGGCAGAGCCCATGTCACCCCGAGCCCCAGACACTTAGCTGGATGCCTCCCTCCTCTGTGAGCACCGCTGTGATGGCTGCAGATACCTGCAGGTCTGACGCCCCTTGATACGGACACCCACGCCCACACACGGTGATGGAGGAAAGCCCCCTTGGAAGAGCTCTGCTCCCTGCCATCCTCTTCTAGTCCTGCCACCCCCCTTTTGGGGTTTTTTGGGGGTTTTTTTAGACAGGGTCTCACTCTACGGTTCAGGCTGGCCTCAAACTCAGGTGATCTTCCTGCCTCAGCCTCTGTGACTGCTGGGATTACAGGTGTGCACCACCACGCCTCTTTTCAAAATGTTTCTCCACTGGGATCTAGAACATTTTCAAAGCTGCTCCAAGTTTTCTAACCTAAGGTCCATGGCCCAGCCTCAGTGGATTCTGTATAGGATACTGTATGAAACTAGGAAAATAATCCAGAGCTCTTTTCCGATTTGCTCTAAAGGAACCCCTCATTTTACAAGAGGAGGAACCAAAGCCCAGAGCGGCCCAGATTGCCTTGTGTAAAGTCACCCAGAAAGGCAGTGTCTGAAACAGCCTCCCCCGGCTCCATCCGGCCCAGCTCCCTTCTGGCACCTATACAAGCCAGTGGTCTCCCCTGTGTCACACATACCGGTCCTGGGCTGCGGGGCGCTGGCCCAGCATGGGCAGCTGCTCATGGTTGGAGATGAGGTCGCGCTGGTCTTCCATGGCTCTGTCCTCTGGTCCTTCCTGATGCTCTCGCTGCTGCTGCTGCTGTCAGGGCCAACTCCTCCGGTGTGTCTGGGGCGGAGCCCTGGCTTACCTCTTGAAGTTGGTGCTGGGGAGGAATCTGATTGGTCCACAGAAGGCCACTCCGCCCAATTGGCAGATGTAGAAGTGAAAGCCACAAAGCTGGAAATCCCCCAGTCAGGCAAAGCTGCCTTTCAGGGGCCAGGATGAGGAAGGGGAGCTTCCAGACAGGTAGAGGCCAGCGCGATCTCATTGGCTGCCCAGGGCCCACATCACTTGTTTCTGGGCAGACCTTTGGATTCATAAGGCTCTTTGAGTGTTTCTGGAAACTGGCTAATGTTGGCTCCCTAGACAGGAAATCACTTCAAAGTAAACAGGGGCTGTGTGTCCGCTGTGAGTTAGACAAGCTCTTTTCACGGGCCTGTTATGTCCTCTCAAAATGGAGGTGGAGGGGCAGACTCCGGTCACACTCGGGAGTCCATGGCGTTAAAGCTGTGGTACTAACGTCTTTCAGCCACTCACCAAGCCCTCCATACTTGTTTCTTGAATTGCCCTTGGAAGGGCGTCCTGTTGCCTCCTTTCGTAGGTAGGGACACTGAGGCTTAGAGAAGCTTCCATGTTTGCCCTGGGAAGAGAAGCAGCCTGTGTGCTCGGCCACTGCACTCTCCTGCCTCTGATGCTCAAATGTAGGAGAAGCAAGAGGGGCCGGGAAAGGTTCCCGGGGGAGAGTCGTTGCCTTGGTCTCACACCCTGGACACAGGGACATAAGAAATACGTCAGAGCCAGGCGGGGTGCACACACCTGTGGTCCTAACACTCTGAGAGGCGGAGGCAGGAGAGTCACAAGTTCAGGTCCAGCCTGGGCAACTTCAGGACTTGACGAGACCCTGTCTGAACATAAAAAATTAGAGTGCGGGAGAGGAGCTAAAGGGCTAAAGGTGTAGAGGAAATGGGACGGGTAGGGGAAAGGAAAGAAGGGGAAATAAAAAAATACGAGAAAAGGAAAAAATGGAAACAAAATCTTTGTAAATAGAGGAGAGTGGAGGGGGTGAAGGGAGGGCAGGGACAAGGGGAAAAAATGAGAACCAAGACCTGTCTCGTAAGGTACAAGATCCCGATGATGAGTGCAACTGCACTGTATACTTAAGAAGGTACCAATGAACTCAGTGAGATAAAAAAATAAGAGGGCGGGGACGTAGCTCAGTGTAGGCCCTGAGCTTCATCCCTAGTACTATGAAAAAGAAGAAGAAGAAGGATGAGAAGGAGAAGGAAAAGGAGGTGGGGAGCGGGAGGGGGAAAAGAATGGGAAGATTTAGTTACTGCTCCCTGCTTCTGACACAACTGCTCAGGCCTCGGAAATTTCGGAGTGATGACAGCTTCAGGATGAGGACTCGTGGCCAGAGGACAGCAACCGTGTGACAGGAGGGATGGGACTTCCAGACCTGCAGGCACAGGAGAGAGGAGCTGCAGATGGAGTTCAGGCACCAAAGGCAGGGGTTTAATCTTTGTCGTCTTCATAACAAAAGTTCTATGAAAGTCCTAATAGAGTTCAAAGAGCTTCCTTGTCTGTGTACAAGGGGCTCGTGCATCCCAACTCCACAGCAGAAGCTCTGTGCTAAGGCCAGGCGTGGTGGCACAGCCTTGTAATCCCAGCACTTGGAAGGCTGAGGCAGGAGGGTGGCTATAAATTCGAGGCCAGCCTGAGCTATGTAGCAAAACCCTGTCTCAAAAGAATAAAAATTAAAAAAAGAAGAATCTCCTGTGCTAAGGAGAACGCACCCCTTTGTCTAGCTGTTCATCTGCACCCTTTACATAACCCGGTAAGCAGAATACGCTGGCACACACACCTGTCATCCGGAGGCTGAGGCAGGAGGGTTGCAAGTTCCAGCCAGCCTGGACCATTCATTGGCTTAGAGAGACTCTGTCTTAGAGTAAAAAATAAAGAGCCAGGGATGTAGCTCAGTGTGAAGGTCCAGTGCCTAAGTGGGAAGGGGGGACGGGGACCAGTTAGGATGAGTAAGGAAGGGGTCCCTGGGCGAGCAACCCCACCCTGGAGAACAGACTGGAGCTCATTCCTGGACACAGGAAGGGCCTGAGCCTGTACTGAGGTAACAGCCTAGAGGAATCTTCCCTGAGGAGGGCGACCATCTGGAGAAAATACCCAAAGAATCCCACACTGGCGATGCCCAGTGAGACAGAGCCTTAACCCTGCAGGAAGACCTCCTCGAAGAGAAGCTGGCCCCTGGCCCACTGCTTCCACTCGAAGTGGTAGGAAGTCAAGGATCATGAGACAGCTAAAGAAAGCCTTCAACATGTAAGAGAGGGAATGAAAGAACCAAATAGAAAAAAGCACCACGAAGGTGCTTAGTTTGTTAGCTTAATTGTCCTTAGTTTTAAAGCCTGAGAGATAAATGATGATCCTGTACCCATCAGTGAAAAAGAGGATACAATGGGCAAGACAGTGCATTCCTATAATCCCAGCACTCTGGTAAGCTGAGGCAGGAGGGTCCTTCCCTGGGCACCTTAGTGACTCAGCAAGACCCTGTCTCAAAATAGATCTTTTTTTGGGGGGGGGGTTCGGTACCTAGAATTGAACTCCGTACTGTGCTTGCCAGGCAGGCATGGCATGGCTGAATTAAATCCCAAGCCTTTCAAAATAAGTAGAAAAGGGCAGGGAATGTAGCTCAATGCAAAGGCCCTGGGCTCAGTCCCAGGACTGGGTACAGCAGGGGGATGTTATAAAGATACAAGTATAACAGAAGAACGAAAAAAGAAGTCTTGAAGATTAAAAACATGAAGGCAGATTTTAAGCAATCAGTAGGTAGAAGATTTTTTTTAACATCCCAGAAAGTACACCATAAAGATAAAAGGAAAAAAAATCAGAGAAAAAAGGTAAGAGAATTAAAGACTAGTGTAGCAGAACTAACAGCCAAATACCGGAGTTCCAGGAATAGAGAACGGAGAAAACAGAGATGGGAAAAATTACCAAGGAAAGTAACTCAATACAGTTTCTAGAACTCAAGGACAAACATTTTCAAACTGAAAGGGAGAAGTGAGTAGCAAGGAGAAGATATTAAAGTAATTTCTGCTGGGCATGGTGGCACATGTCTATAATCTCAGCACTCGGGAGGCTGAGGCAGGAGGGAGGCTGAGGCAGGAGGATCGCTGTGAGCTTGTGGCCAGCCTGCAATACATAGTGAGACTCTGTCTCAAAAAGCCTAAATAAATAAATAAAAATTTTAAATATATAAAATAATTTCATAGCAAGGCACATTAATGTGAGGCTTCAGAAAAATAAAGACTAAGAAGATTCTATAAATTTCTGGAAAGAAAATGAGACAGACACAAAGAATCAGGAATCAAAATGACTTTCGACTTCTTAACAGTATCACTGGAGCAACACCTTTGAGGTCTAATTTTTACCGGCTGCTCGTCCGACAAAGGACTAATATCGAGAATATATAAAGAACCAAAAGAAAACCCAGCACCCCCAAATTTAGACTGATCCCAAAATGGGCATCTGAAATAAAGAGACATTTCTCAGATGAAGAAGAGGAGCCAGCAAATAAATATATGAAAAAATGTTCAACATCACTGGTCAATTGAGAAATGCAAAGTAGAACAACACAGATTCCACCTCACCCCAGAAAGAACGGCTGCTACCAAGAAATCAACCAATAATCAATGCTGGTTTGGCTGTGGGGAAAAAAGGCAGCTTCTCTACTGTTGGTGAGAGTGTAGACTGGTGCAACCACTGTGGGAATAAATCAGTGTGGGATACCTCAAAAAATTAAAACTAGGGCCGGGGATGTAGCTCAGTAGCCTGGCAAGCATAAGCTCCTAAATTCAATCCCTAGGACCAAAAAAAACCTAAAACTAAAACTAGAGGTTCCATTTGACCCAGCTATTCCCCTTCTTGTTATCATCCTGAGAGATTTAGAAGCATCATACCATGGCAATATCTGCACACCCATGTTTATAGCAGCACAGTTTGTTATAGCTAAACTTTGGAAATGTGTAATCCCAGCACTTTGGAGGCTGAGGCAGGAGGACTGCCATGAGTTCAAGGCCAACCTGGGCTACATAGTGAGTTTTAACATCAGCCTGAACTACATAGTGAGACCCTGCCTCAAAATCAATCAGTCTATCAACCAATCAATCTTTAAAATACCCAGATGCACATTAACAGATGAATGGATAAAGAAATTGGTGTTTTTGTATACAATGCAATACTACTCTGTCATGAAGCAGGATAAATGAGACATTTTTAGGTAAATGGATACACCTTGAGGCCATAATTTTAAGTGAAGTAAACCAGATACTCATGTTTAAATATTGCAGTGTTGCTGGGTGAGATGGTGCACGCCTGTAATCCCAGCACTCGGGAGGCTGAGGCAGGAGAATCGCCACGAGTTTGAGGCCAGCCTGAACTACATTGTGAGATTCTGTCTCAAAAAACAACAAACAAGTGAAAATATCACATGGTTTCGCTCGTGTAAGAAACCAAAAGCATGTAGAGGTACAAATTCCCAACAATGAATGTAACTGTACTGTATCCCTAAAATGTACCAACAAACTCAATTAAAGCTGAAAAAAAAAAAAAAGCACATATAAGGACCAAAATGGATGATAGATATTGATAGATATTGAACAAGAAAATGTTCAGATGGAAAGGGGAGCAGGACAGGGAAGCAAGGGAACAAAAAAATTAAGAAGTGGCTGGGTGTAGTGGCGCACGCATGTAATCCCAGCACTCCAGAGGCTGAGGCAGGAGGATCCCTGCAAGTTCGAGACCAACCTGGGCTACATAGTGAGTTCCAGTTCAGTCTCAACTACATAGTGAGACACTGCCTTAAAAAAAAAAGTTTCCTTCCATAACTGTCTCCATCAGGAGGGCTGTGCACCAGCAAAATGGAGTTCACCCTGCAAAGAGGGAGACATTCAATACAGAAAAGTAACACCCAGCTCACGAGTGGGAAAAGCAGTTTCACCAGGGGAAAAGCAACAGTTCGAGGCTGGGTGGCCCCTCAAGGCCCTGAAGGCCATTTCTTCAGCAAGATGAAACTGACAGATACCTGCTATGTCTGAGCGTCCTGACAAGCCATTTGGGAGAATATGAGGTTGGATTGTGGTGATTTCATAGAAATGAAGCAAATGAGGGCCAGGGGATCAGCACAGTGGTACTGCGCCTGCCTCGAGAGCACAAGGTCCTGAGCCAGGGATTTAGCTCAGTGGTTCTACCGCCTGCTTCGAAAGTGTGAGGTCCCAAGTTCCCTAGTTCCATCCCCATGGTTCCTGTGCCTGCTTGGAAAGTGCAAGGGCCTGAGTTCAATTTCTGGAGACCACCCCCGCCCAAAACGAAGTAAAGGAAAAACCAAGACCATTGCTAATTCTTGGGAAAACACAAGCTATGTAGGAAATGAATAGTAAACCTAGCGTACTATGTACTTCAACAGTAAATATATTTATACTGTGGTAATACTGTAAATACGGAATACTGATTTGGCCAAATACATGAGAGGGGCAGGTGGGAGGATGAGACCACAGGAAGAGGGACGTGGGGCCAGGCAGGAGAGAGAGCTAAGGCTTCAATGTCCACAGGAAAAAAGCCACTTGGATAAGGTCAAGTGTGGGAAAATCAGGAAGTAACCATACCAGAAACTGAATCAGAGATACGGAGATAAATAACCACAAGAACTGGCTGAAAAGTCTGAAAGTGATATGAAAAGGAGAAATAAAGACCTGCCGTTTTTCACAGCACACCTCATGAAAGTATTTGATTCTTTAAACTACAGTAAGGAAATTCATAACTTTGATCCAAAGTAAAGCTAAATGTAGAGCAGAGGGAACATACATCAAAGTCAGCAGGTTCTGGCCTGATGGTGATAAAATGGCAGTCCAGAGCCTTTCCCTGTGAGGCAACGTCGGCTCCAGGCTGACCTCAAGGTCGTGTTGCCCTTGCCCACAGGAGCTGGCGGCCAACTCTACAGGTGGCCTCACCCGGTGTCCCAGGGTCCCGCCCCTAACAGGTTCCTCACTGTCACATGGGCCCACTGCCCAGTGGAGGAGCTCTGTCCACCCATCCCGGCCTGTACGGGGGAGGAGACAAAGTGACAGACCGCAGGGGGACTGGATATCTGCCTTGTCCCGACAGGAAGGTGGGTGAGGGGACTCCAGCTCACCTACTGTCCACAGGAGAAGGGTGAATCAGAGAGGAAGAGGGAGCTGGCCCATGGTCACCCAGCAAGGCCCGACGAGCTGGAGCTGTCCCCTGCAGTGCGACATGAGTGTTACCCACACAGAGCTCAAGCGGCTGCCCGGGGTCGAATGCCAGCTCGGGATGCCTGCTTCCAGAGCTGGGGAGGACAAACGGGGGAGTCTGAGGCACTGTTCTTGTCGCTCCTCCGCTTCCCCTGGAAATGTTCAGGCTCCTGGGGTTTGTCCACAGGACGAAGAGCCAATCTGAGGGACACTGCCAGCCAAGGATGGGACAAAGCCTTGATGGGCGTAATTTACCTGCCTCTGTAGGAACTTCATACAAGAATGGGAATTTCTTGCCCTCTTGCGGAGGAAAAGATAGAATTAGAAAAATCGTCTGTTTTGTATCACTCAGTGTAATAGTTGATCAGGAAAGGGTCCTCTGGGGACGATGAAACGGGTCATGAAAAGTTGGGAGAAGAAAAGAGCTCCTCGCTGGTCCGGAGCAGGGAAGGATGTGGTGTGGCAGTGAAAAGCGACAGTCCTGCTGGCGTGCCTCAGAGCAGAGCTCAGATGGGAACAGCGGGCCAAGCTGACCTTCTGAGCCTCCTGACCGAGCACGGTGAGCCCCATTTCAGGCCTCGATTCCATTACCGTCAGCACTGGAGAGGAGGAACACACAGAACGACAGACTGCATCGTTACAGCGACTCCTGGGGGGAGGATCCCTTCTCCACAGCGCAGGCGAATTGGTGCTGCAATCCTCACTAAAATCACGCAGTATGTGGGGGTCAGATCCCAGCCCCAGTCCTTAGCGATGTGTGACTGGAGCAAGTTACCTAGCTCCCAGCAGCAACGTGTGGGTGCGAACAGGACCTGTCTCGTCCAGGAATTGTGAGGACTAAATGAGCACTCACGCCTGACACGGAGGGAGAGTAGTGTCAAGCGATTCAGTCATAGCATTTTTTTCCCCTTGCGAACTTGCTTAATCAGAATCTGGGAACTTGAGGGCTTGGAGATTTGGAGCTGCTCGACCGAGATAGACCTGTCTGGGCCCTTCTGGGAGTCTGGTCCCAGGTGTCACCCCGGAGTCAGTCTAGGTCACAGCCTGAGCCTCCTGCCCTCCTTAGTTCTGGGCACTGCGGACCCCAGAGGTGGTTCCTTCCAGTTCACCCTGGGTGGGCCAGGCAGGTGGAGTCCCCTGCGACCTCTCTCCCCTCATCTTCCTCCTTGGTCCCCAAGTCCCTGGTGAGCCACCGGGCATGGCAGTCTGCAGCCAGCCCTGTCCTCCACCCCTCAAGGTGGTGACTCCTGGGCTTGGACCCCAGCATGGTTTGGCTATGAACAAGGGGCCCAGAATGGGGCTGTGTGTGGGGAGGGAGCAGGCCTGTGCCTGCTATTCCTGCCCAGGTAGTACACATCCCTTCTCTCAGTCGTTCAGTCAACAACTATTCGTGTTGGTGTTTTTGAGACAAAGTCTTCCTATGTAATTCAAGATGACCTTGAACTCACTAGCCTCAAAGTTGTGGTGATCCTTCTGCCTCAGCCTCCCGAGTAATGGGATTAGAGCATGTGCCACCACACACGGCTTCAACTCCTTATTGAGTATCGACTTTGTGCCGGGCACTCTTCTCGATGCTTGGGGCGCATAGATAAACAAAGCCCTGCTCTAGGAGCCTCTGACAGCAACACAGGGATGTCACTCTCGGTCTGGAGATCACACCCCAGTGTCAGGAGATAGACAAGGACGTTACACTAAGTGTGACGCAGTGGTGGGTGGTACGAAAAAAAGGAAGGCTGCCCGAGAAGCAGGGTGGGCCAGTTGCCCGATGTTATAGGTGTGGGTTTGGGCGTCATTGACGGTGAGCTTTGGGCACAGGCTGGAAGGCGAGATGTTCTCCAAGCCACGTCTGTGGGACGAGAACTCTGGGCAGGAGCAGCAACCAGGGCAAAGGTCCCAAGGCAAGAATGCACCTGGTGTGGTGGAGGGACCAGGAGCTGGTGAGGTAGCGGCGGGGCCATCTGCCGGTCTGTGTTTTACTTTGAGTAAAACAGGAAGCCAGGGGCCCTGGAGCAGAGGACACCATTATCTGACATGTGCTGATTTTTTTTTTCAGTACCGAAATTGAATCCAGGGCCTCTGCATTGAGCTACATCTTCAGTCCGCTTCCCTTTCCTTTTATTTTTGGGACAGTCTTTCTACAGGGCTCAAATTTACAATTCTTCTGCCTCAGGCTCCCAGAGAGCTGGGGTTACAGGTGTGCTCCCAAGGCCAACTCTGACTTGTGTCTTTGTTTTGTTTTGGTTTGTTTTTGGTTATTTTGAGACAGGGTCTTGCCACAAAGTCCAGGCTGGACTTGCACTGGGTGATCCTCCTGCCTCCGCCTCCTGAGTGCTGGGATCAGGGACATGCACCACCACGCCCAGCCTAACTTGTGTTTTAAGAGCGCAGCCCCATCTGCTATGTGCACATCCCCAGAGTGGGGGCAGATTTTCCCCCTGCCTCACGGGACCGCTGTGAGAAGAGGAGTCTGGCTGGGCAGACACTGTAGTCAGTCACGGTGCTTGTGGGAGAAGAGGCCAACTTCCGGGCTCGCTCCCAGTCTGCGGAGGGACGGGCACCTGGCCCAGGGGAAGGTGTCCTTTGCCCAGCCCTGTGCTCTAAGAATGACTCAGAATCTGGGTCTCCCCCAGTCTGTCCTAGGGCCAGATGCCACCTGGGAGGCGGGTAGAGGACTCAGCCTTTGGACAGTGGGTGTGGCTGGCCGGGCTGAGTCCTCCCCCGTGATTCACGGCTCAGCAGCTTTCATCAAGCAGCGGGCCTGTGCCAGGAGTGGGGTCAGTGCAGGAGGCACACACTAGCTGAAGATCAGGCTGGGTGTGGACTCGGGGGTCAGGATCGTCTGGGGCTGGGCAGGTCACAGATGAGGCGGGAGGAGGAGGCCTGCTGGGGCTGCAGCCCAGCGCGTGGGGACGGGAGAAGAAGAGGAGCCAGGCAGGAGGACTCGGGCCTGACTGCGCGGACAGAAGCTGGGACTGAGACGCCACTGCGCCTTCCCACGCGGGTGACGGACGGCGCGAAGTCCTTACAGAAACAGGAAGTCCTCGGCACGTTTGCGGAACAGAAAGCAGGGCCCTGCGTCCGAGCCCAGCACACAGCGCGTAAGCAGGGAGGAGGGCGGGGAGAGGTTTTCCACGTCACTGGCCGCACAGGCCGGGGCTCGGAGGGTCAGGCCTTGAGCTTCGGGCCTATTCCGAGACCAAGGCAGCCAGCCAGAGTACTGGGCAGAGCGGTCCGACAGCTGTTTCGGAATCAGGATCTGGAATAGAGGGCGGGAGAAGGGGGCGGTAAGAGGCGCCCTGGAGGTGGTGGCATCCTGAGGTGGGAGGACTGGGAGAAGAGCCCGCGCTGGAATAGGTGGGACCCAGAGCTATGCCCAGGCTGGGTTCTGCTGCGACACCCAGCGGAGACGCGGAGGAGAACTTAGAGGAAGAGCGAGCACGCGTGTTTGGGATCCGAAGCCATCCGAAGCCACGGAGGGCTGAGCCCTGCGGACCCCAGCCCGCCCGCCCGCGTTTAGACTGGATGAGAAGCAGCGAGGAGGAGCGAGGCGGTTCGGTGTCCCCAGGACTCAGCCACACAGAGGTCGTCAGGGACACTGCAAATCGGGCGGAGGCAGGGGGAGCACTGCGGCTGGGCAGAGCTGAGGCGCAGCGAGGAAAGGAGGGCGCGGCTGTGCGGCCTCGCGCTGCCCACCCGAGAACGGCCTCAGGCTGGACCCACAGGCTCCTGCCGCCCTCCTTTGTTCCTGGTCCCCAAGACTCCGCGCCCCACCTCAGTCAGAGGCCCCTCGAGGCCCCCATCCCTGGGTCTGAGTGAGGCCTGGAAATCCTGCACCACCACCGGGCTCCTCACTGGCTTCCCCTCCTGGGGGAGTCAGTCTTCCCCTTGTTTTCAGCTGCACATCACAGCGGGCCTGCCCTGTGGAGGGGCCACCGTCACCCTCAGGCCCTTACTCCCCCTGACCAGCCTTAGCAAAGGCCCTGTGGGCTTCCCAGGCACTGTTCCCCCTCAGGACCCTACCGCCCAGCAGGGATGCCTCTGGAGCATTTTCTCTCTATCCCTTGCAGTCTGCTTTCCCACCTTCAGAGACCGGAAGCTCACTACTTCGGTGAGCAGCACATTGGAAGTGCAGGACGGTGTCGGAGTTCAGAGTATGGACTCCAAGCTAAGTAACTTTAGGTGAAATCCGCGCCCCCAGGGCTGAGATTGAACTCAGGGCCTTTTCCATGCTAGGCAAACGCTCTACCACTGAGCTCCCAGCCCCGCTTCTGTTGAATCTTAACTCTGCTACTTACTAGCGTCCTATTTTTTTTCATCTGTAAAGTGATAATAATAGCAGTATCTACTTCCTCTGTGACTATTCTGATTAACATGCTACACTCAGGTTGCTTGGCAAGTGCTTAATAAATGCCAGCTACTACATCATCATGGCTGTCAGCGATACTTTTCTGGGGTACAGATGTAGCTTTAGGTCTAGCCCGGTCCTGTTCAGTTCTGTCTTCTCCTAGCCCACCTGTAGGTTATCCCTATTGTCCTGCCTTTCTGTTTTCATTTTCCTCATGCCAAGATTTTTCTTTTTCCAAGCTCAGTGATTCCTTAAACAGGCCCACGCTTTTCCCCTACAGGGGTGCTGACTGTCCAGGAGCGCTCAAGGCTCAGTATGAACACCTGGGGTGGGGCAGGCAGCCTGGAGGCCCCTCCTGCTCCCGTAGGCCGGCTTGTTTGCTCCCTGCTTCGCAATAGATTTGGGCTCCCTCGCTGCACTCCCTGACCCTCTGCCATTACGTCAGGATGAAGAGCCCGGGTGGAGCCAAGTTCAAATCCAGACTCTGCCACCTGCTTGTAGTGAGATTCTGACAGAGCCACTTCGCCTCCCCAAGCCTCACTTTCCTCATCGGCAAAATGAGGCTAATAATCAACTTCCTACTTCATAGGGTATTGTGAGGATTAAGATAACACTTAGCTGAGTGCCTCCCTCAGTAACTATTTTGTTTTCTGCGGTACTGAGGATCAAACTCTGGACCTTGCGATTTCAAGGCAGGCGTGGTGCCACTGAGGTAAATCCCTGACCCCCATAGCTATTTTTCCTCAATATTCAGGGCACTCACTAGCCATATGTGCTGGTTCATCCTTTAAAATATGGCTAGTCCAAGTTAAGATGCTCTGTGTGCGTTAAATGCCCAGAGGAAATCAGTTTAGTACAAAAAAGGTGAACTGTCTTTCTGACAGTTTCTTTATATTGATCATATGCTGTCCAGTGCAATGACACACACCTGTAATACTAGCCCTCTGGCAGGCTGAGGCAGGAAGATCACAAGTTAGAGCCCACCCTGGACAACTTACTTAGTAAGACCCTGCCTCAAAATAAAAAATAAAAAGGGATGGCCAGGCATGGTGGCGCACGCCTGTAATCCCAGCACTCGGCAGGCTGAGGCAGAAGGATCGCTGTGAGTTCGAGACCTGCCTGGGCTACATAGTGAGTTCCAGGTCAGTCTCTACTACATAGTGAGACCCTGTCTCAAAAAACCAGAAAAAGGGCTGGAGATTTAGCTCAGTGGTTCTGGAGACTGCCTTGCAAGCGCAAGAACCTGAGTTCTATCCCCAGTACCAAAAAAAAAAAAGGATGGGGATGTAACTCAGTATGAAGGCCGTGGACTCAACCCTTCATCCTGAAAAATTAATCAATCAATCATACATTGACACAAAAATTTTAATGTGCTGGGTTAAATAAAATATATTACACACAAAAATATGCCATTCTTGTATTTTATTAATATGGCTATTAGAATTGGTTTGAGACGGTTCTGCTGTGCAGTTCAGGCTGGACTTAAACTCACTATGTAGCCCTGGCTGACCCCAACTATGGCGATCCTCCTGCCTCAGCCTCCCAAGGGCTGGGATTACAGGTGTGTGCCACCGTGCCCAGCTCAAACATTTTCTTCTATTAGTATGTTTGCAGTACATAATGAGTACATTCATGATGAGTTGGGACATGTACACAGCACATCTTACTTTCTTTACTTCCCTCCGCTCCTGTTCCTTCTTCCCCCCTCCTCCGCTTCTCTATTCTCCCAGAATTCACAGAAATAGACCTCAGGCATCAGCACGGTAGGCAGCTTCCTGTTATGCCAGTGCTGCCACCAAGTGGCCACCGATAGATGGCGGATGCAAACTTCCACAGCACCGAGTTTTCTTCAGAGGTTAGGACTCTGCTTCCTCCTCTTCTCCCTCTCCTCCTATCCTACCACTTCCTCCTCCTTGTCTTTTTGGTTTTTGGAGTCTCACTATGTAGTTCAGGCCATCCTTGGACTCACCATATAGCCTAGGCTGGCCTCAAACTTGCTGCAATCCTCCTGCCTAAACTTCCTGTGTGCTAGGATTACAGGTGCGACCACCACGCCTGGCTACCCAGGGGAAGGTCTTCCTCCCACGCCCGTCTGTGACTTCCTTGGCAGCGT